ACAACGACAACTACAATCAAAACACAGTCAGGCATTGTGGCAGGCACCTGTAGTCCCAGCTACTTAGGAGGCTGAGGCAAGAGAATTGCTTGAGCCCAGGAGTTGGAGGTTGCTGTGACGCCACAGCACTCTACCTAGGGCGACAGCTTGAGGCTCTGTCTCAAAATAATAATAATAGTAATAATTTTGTGTTATATTACTTTTGGGGGTAGTTATATTGCCAATACCTACTTTTAATAGTATACCTTTGCAATGCCATTATTAATTTTAAATTTTGGGGGGTCATTTTTTTGTATGGGTCTATCATGCCTAATCACTAGACCTTTTATGGGATGTAGGTCTTAAAATCCTTAAATGAATTACTCCTAAACATACATAGTAATTAAGGAACAATTTAGAAGAACTACAGTTATTTTTAAGTATTCATGCAATTACACATTTTGAGCATGGATTCTTTCATCCTCTTCATTTACAGAGGACAGCTTCTAATTACACTTCAGCTGAACTCAAGAGTTTTCATACACACATGTGTGCATGTGAGTGTACACATGTGTATGTTTAATTTTACAATAGTTGTCCCCCCATTTTCCTCGTTTTCTCCATTCTGAGTTCATTATTCCTGTAACTGAATTACATGACATGGAATGGCTTTCTCTGAATGTGAAAACAGTAAAATACTTAGAAACTTACGGCTCTGGAGATGCCTTCTCTTTTAAATTTTAAAAGTATTAAATTTTAATAAAAAATGTTATTTTATATTAAGACAAGAAAAATACACAATACTTCAAAGGGAAAGTGCATCTGAAGCTTGAGAATCTGCCCCTCAGTCCCTCCTCATCCACCACGAAGGTGGAGCCCGACCTGGTGGTTTAACATGCAAGACACAGACCTCACTAGGTCAGCCTCGCCCGGGACTGCTTCATGCTGAAAGATGTGCCCACTGGCTGGGCGCAGAGGCTCACTCCTGCAATCCTAGCACTTTAGGAGGTCGAGGCGAGTGGATTGCTTGAGCTCAGGAATTCAATACCAGCCTGAGCAAAAGCAAACCCCGTCTCTACTAAAAAGAGAAAAACTGAGGCAAGAGGATGGCTTGAGCCCAAGAGCGGGAGGTTGCTGTGAGCTATGACGCCACTGCACTCTACCCAGGGTGACAGCTTGAGACTCTGTCTCAAAAAAAAAAAAAAAGATTTGTCTACTGACCCTGCCAACACTGCCCTTAATAACTATTTATCTCTTGAGCTGCTGTCAGACATCAGCCTCACTTCTCTCCTCCTGATACTTAAGATAGACGTGACTTTGCCCTTTCGCATTCTGTGCCTCCCAAGACTTTAGTTTTCCCTTCGGCCTCTCACTATTCATGGTACTGGAAAACAGGCTCAATATTAGTTTCCAGTTTCATAATTGGTTTATCAACTGTGTCTTGTCTTTAAAGGAGTGACTATTTTAATTACATTCATTCAGTCGGATTTCTCAACTCTCAGATTTCTAACTCATTTCCATAATGCACATTTATCTAAAACATCCATGTTCTACACTTGACAGATTTGACTTGAACCCTTGTCATAAGCTCCATTGATGTGGTCCCACCTTTACCCTCCCTCTGTCAAACCCCCCCCTCCCCTCCCTTCCCACTCCATTTCTCTCCTTCATCCTGGGCTATAGTTGTGTTCTATCTTTCATAAGAAAGTGTGAGTAAATATAAGTAGGTTTCATAGAAGTACTGAGTACATTGGATACTAAAAAAAAAAAGAGAGAGAGAGAGAGAAGCGAAGGTTTGGTAAAACTTCACAATACTTTAAGACAATAAAATTGTTCTCCAGGCTTTATAGAATAGGCGTGAGTATACTCAAATAACATCCAGTTTTCTGTGTTGTGATCTAAAGGATAATCATTCATATCGTAAATGACTTGTTAAAAATAAATCTTACCATTTATGCATTAAAACTTAAAAAATGCCCATTTATCTATAGTGTAATCTATATTCTTGGGTTTGAAAATTCAATTTCCTTTCATATATAAAGATAATCACTTTAAAATGGGTCTCACATATTCCTAGGATTCTATTTCTTTGGCTGCGATGACCTTCACCAATGAGGCTGTAGATTGTTGATTGTGGTACTCTTCATCACTATTAGGATTTCCTTCATCTTACTCATTTTTGCTCAACTGCTCACTTCCCACACACTTTACCTTTCAGAGAAGCTTTCTCTCAGGGCTTTTCTTGGAGTTCAGAGCCAGAAGAGGCGGAGGGTATTCCACCTGCTACCTCCATGAGGCAACCACTCTCCCAAAGTTGGCATCTGCTCGGGGCTGTACAGACTATGAAGGGTCCAATTGGAGCCTCACACACTTCAACCACACTCCAGAGCCTTAACTCCCTCCCTGTCTATGAGCACCCT